GAGGGGTCCCCCGACTTCTCCTCAGGAGACCGAATGGCATTGAAGTCCCCGGTTAGGATCCAAGGCACCCCCATAGACGAGCTTTGAAGGAAGAGGTTAGCCCACAACTCCCTCTGCTCGCTAGGTCTGGGGGAGGCATAGACAGCAGTCACCATCCGAGGATCTTCATTTCCGCGAGAAACTTGGAGGGTTATATGCTGATTGCAGGCTGAAACCAGATGCGAATCAAGCTTGGTGGCGTCCCAGAAGATCCAAATGCCTCCTTTCCTGCCATCAGCCTCCACTCGGATCGCGTTAGAGAAACCCAGCTTGTCACAGACTGAGTTTGCAGCACTCCCGCTGATTTGGGGTTCCAGAAGAATCACTAGGTCAGGCTTGTGCTCTTGAATCGCAAGTTTCAAAGCCCTGGAAAAAGCTCTGCTACCTGCACCACCAACATTCCAGGAAAAAATTTTGAAATTAGAGTTGCACGACATCAGGTAAATAAACAAATAAGAGAAGAAGGGGTAGGGATCAAAGGAGAGAAAGAAGTCCAATCAGGTTAGGGGTTGTGTCTCCCCCAAATTATTGAGCTTTGTCGTCTCCTCGTTCATCTCCGCGGTCATCACTTCCGCGTTCTGGCAGGGGATGGCCTTGTTCGTGTTCTCCGTCCACGCTTGGATCTCTTGGAGAGTGAGGGAAGCCGAGCGGATTTTGGTTTTTGAATTTCTATCTTTCACTGGCGACCATATTCTTAGAGGCTTGAGTTGATGGAGTTTTCCCGGTGAGTTTCTCCTGGCGGCCGTGGAAACCTTCATCGGCGATTTGCGCAGGGAGGGCGACTTTTGCTTTTTCGACTTCTTTCGGTCAGTTGAAGGCGTGGTGTTCGTTTTTGGGCTGCTGGGGCTCAATTGGATTATCTGCATCTGCGTGCCATTGGGTCCGGTAAACGATTGAGTGACAGGTGGAGAGCTTATCGGGCTGAGTAGTCCGTTTTTCCCAGCAGCAGCCCCATCCAGCGGGGGGCTTTCCGCATTGGAGTCCACGGAAGTGGATGCTTGATTTGGGTTGTGCTGGGCTTTTGGCCCACTCGGAGTATGTTTCGTGTTTGGCCCCGCCCCTAGTAGGCCTTTCCTTGGTCTGGTGACTAGTTAATTAACATTGTACAATACCCAAATCCAATGTACGTGTCGGTGATCATGTTGTGCCATATCACATACTTTATTTCATAAGATTAAGAAGATGATTTGTGCGCGTTAAGGCCATCGAAATGCAGGTTAAAGTTACGCATTAAACAATGACGCACGCAGCAGGGACAAAATTAGGGGTCGTTTGCTTCAAGGATTTGCAAATGAGGGTTTTGTAATTTAAAAACCCAAGGATTTATCAAGGATTTGAGGCATCATGGATTTGTAACAATCCTTTGTTTGTTGGGATGTTTTTATCATGGATTTAAAGGTGTGGGATTTACTACTTGAAGTAAAAAATTACATTACTGCCCTTTTCTATATGTTTGACATGTTTATGATATGTACACAAAACAAGGACAAAACTTCAAAATTACCTTACTATCATTTTCTATATGTTTGACATGTTTATGATATGTACACAAAACAAGGACAATACATACTAATAAGCATAATGTTGCCACATGGACAATAATAATAAACGAGAAAATTCTGTTTTAACTTTTAACGTAACATAATCAATTACCAATTCTTTGTCCTCCTTTTCAAAAGTAACATATAACAACATATATTAGAATCGGGAGAACAAAGAATTACACGTTTCATGAAAAGGTCAAAGAAAACTATAACACAAGAAATGATATAAAAAATATAACTCATATTTGCACATTAATTGAACGTTTATATTATTCATTTATTGTTAATTATAATGTATAATAGTTAAATTTGAGGGCAACCTTGGAATATTAAAAGTGCATGAGGGTATATGGGTAAAATCTCATCAAGGATTTATGCCATATTCCAAATCCCACATCAATATGTGGGATTTATAAGTCCGTGGGGTCCACGGATTTGAACCCTTAAAATCCGTGGGCCCCACGGATTTGGTCTCCAAAAAATGTGCAAGCAAACAACGGATTGTACCTAAATCCTTGATAGTTGGTTTTTTGGTACCAAATCCATGTACCAAATCCTTGAAGCAAACGACCCCTTAGGGTCAAAGGATGAGCATTAATATTCTTGATAGTAATTAGGGAACAATTTAGCATAGGCAACGTGGTTAATGATGAATGCTTTATACTTTCTTGCCGATTTCACGTGTGAGCCCATTCTCGACTTCCAAAGAATGCCTACTTTTTGTTTCATTTTGCATTTCACCTCCACGAATTAAGCTGAATACTTAGCCAAAAAAATTCCCTTTTACTAAATATATGGACTTTATTTTGTCACTTGTACGAATACAAGTACGAGTTTGATCATGATATTATTATAGTGAAAAAACTATTTACCAGTTCTCCTCCAAAGAAACAAGTAAAACTCTACTTATCAAGTACACAACATTGATTAGATTTAGACATTCAAACTCAGAAGTTTTAGATAAGCAGTTAGCACATCCTCCATCCACCAGTAACCTAATTAATCAACTGTTGATTTGTAATTACTTACTCTTCTATTCAATTAAGTGCTTTTATTTAAGGGTGCGAATCAATCGATTCGATTCAAAATAGATTGAATCGATGTAGTATCATACCAAAATCATGTTTGTTTTATTTGGTTCGACTAGATCCGGTCAAAACTTAATTCCATCTCACTTTTTCTTCATACTTCAAATAATTTATACGTACGAAACTAGATCGATAGTTGATTCACTTCAATCCAAATATCAGTTCAACACAATTTAGTGTGGTGTAGACCATATATCGTTCTCAACCCCAACTCTTTTTTTGTTGTTGTTGTAGAAGTTGGAGGAATGCAATAAATGGCAGCCAACCATGCCAGCTACTCTGAAGCCCAGGAAAAAAAGAAGCCCAATCTCTTGATAGTCCAACTCCCAATGCAGCAAACAGCTATGGACACGTACACAGCCCAACTTAACTTGGGTCTGGCCCTAATGCAGGACCCTTTTTTTGTGAGCTAAGAGGCAAATAATCGGATAACATAGCTGTAATGTAAGTATGTAACAGCTCAATAAGGTGACTCCGAAGTGGTCGTCAACCAAGTCCGTCAAGGCGTCTTAAAAGACTCGATTGGTGGTCCGGTGTTACGAGAGTGTCTTTAGATCCTTAGCTCTTTGTCTGTTTGTATAGAGTTTAGGGCGGTACCTAGATCCGCCAACAGTGCTGCCATAGAGTGGCGCGTAAAGCACTGCTTTTGTCTTGTGTAGAGCTAGAATCTTTTGATTTTTTGGGTGGCTTCTTTAGAGTCTTTTAGGGGTCCTGGGTATAATTGTAACCTTAACTATTATTTTTCATTGATATCACTCAGAAATAAAAAAAAAACCTAAAAAACAGATGATAAGCCAAGATTCCATAATCTTAGGTTAATCGTTATAATACACGAGAATTAAAAAAGTCATTAGAATGATTCATAGAAGATATATGGCCAACTTAAATAAGGAAGAAAGTAAGATCAATTAGGACAATCTTTAATCACTATAATAATTCCATGAAGTACATAATCTGTTAGGGAGATATGATATATCTAAGGAGTAATTATCAAATAACAACCTGAATTAAGTGTCACTTAGACCATAGTGGTAGAATTTAGAAGGCATAAGGATCTTAAATGTGATGAACTAGTGAAAATTAACCAATGTACTCTCTGGCAAAATGGTCGAACCAACAAGTGACAAATGTCCAAATCGCCCAAAAAATGTTGATGCAAGAGGGTAGCCTGAATTTTTGTAAGGTGAGCTCAAAATATCTATAAAAATATGTGATAAAAACTATAATTTTGTTATTAGCGGTCAAACTATTCAGAACATAACTTTCAATTCATCCTACAATAATAACAATTATGATTCATATACTCAAGGAGAATTAAAGGTAGGTAACAAGTTTCAAGGAGAAAAGTTGGTGAAAAAGAGGAAAAATTAAAAATTATAATATGTTATATACAATTGAACAAAATTATATCTAACAAAATTACATGTGCCTTAGTGAAAAAAATGCTAAATATTATTGTTTATGTATCAATTATAATGTAATGATATACAATTGAGCTTTATTTCATTTCAAAAATTAGTTTTAGTTCATTGAAACAAAATAGTAATTAATACTTTCAAATAATTAATATATCTATTTTTACTCAAATCTCCCAAATAAAATGTGTCCCACTCCGAGACCTATATGATTCTAATCTTAATCCACCTTTGAGTTGATGTAGTTTTAAGAGATAAAAGAAAGATGAAACCTTTCATACAAAAATTAGGACTTAACCAAGATTCAAAAACCTACTAGAGGTAAACTATAAACTGAAATCAAACAAAAAAATCCGATTAAAATACTCTGATTAGATCAACTATAAACTGAAATCAATCTTTAACTTCTTATATACATTCTTGATTCTTTCACCAGAAAAAGAAAACTTCTTATATCCATAAGAGACTTATCTTTGCCAAATTCTCCTGCTAATCTTGTTTACACGATTGATTTATTATCATACTATAATTATATTTTTATCATTTGAGATGATGATTATCCTGGCTTACCTATTTTAATTTCTTGGGCTTGGGCACTTCCTCATTGACTTGAAGTCCGTGAAGCATAACTATCGGTTATCGCGCATCATAGAAGTGCGGGCGTCACAGCGCTGAAGAAGAGGCAGAAGCAAAAGCAGGCATCTTCCCCTTTTCGTTGCTTCGCAGGTTTTGTCTGGCTTCCACCGAAACAATCTGCGCTTCTCCATCGCGAAGAAAGATCATCGAGAGAGCTCAATTCCGGAAGCAACAACACTAGGTTGGTTAGATCGCCCGATCCCCCCCTGATTTCTATCCATTTCATCATGTGATTATGCCCTTTTAGGCGCACTATCTTTTCACTCTTTTTGTTTGTATTCCACTCAGAGCTGGAGATTTCCTGTCCATAATTTGAGTTTTTATCCACTTCGTACCTTTCCTCCTTACCAAGGAAGTAGGAACCCCGTTTAGGGCGCGCGGCTCTCTTTTATTTTCTTCCTTCTGTTTTGTCTTCCCCCCTCGTCGCGGGTTTGTGGTTTTTGATTGTTTTGGCCATCTGGGTACCTTTTAATCGTATCGAAGTTTTGAGCTTTTGACGCTGGCTTGATGGTTTACGGTTCTTGAGTGGTGGGTTTTTGATTGGTTGAGTGTCCTGCGCGCCGAACTGAACTTTCAGTTCGGCAATGGCTCGGTTGTTGATGATTCCTCCTTGCAAAAATTCGTGTTTTCCGAAGACCAGTCTCTTGAGTTTGTTCTCCTCGGCTCCTGTGATTACTCGTAACCCAGTTTCTTGTTCGTTTAATTACTCACTGCTTTGATTTATACAAACCGGAATTTGTTCATGAGATGGTTCACTTTTAAATCTCCTTTTCATCGTTGTTTTGTTGATTGTGTTTCGACGACGATTCTTATCATATGGTAGATTTCGCTTCTTGACTGTGATTCTTATGGCTGTTTTCGTTTTGTTCGTTTGCAGCTCCAGGCTACAAGCCGAGCTAGTTGTTTAAGGACTTCTTTGAGAAGTGCATCTAGTCACAGGCAGCTTCTTCGTTCTGTGGTGAGTATAACAATGCTGGACTTCACTTTGGACAAACTTTAACAGTCCATGATTTCGAGTCTAAATTTGGCTGCTAAAATTGGTGTATACAGGTCTCATTTCAAAGAAATTATAAGTTTTCGCATCCCGGATTATATGTATGTATATCTTCGGATTGGTGTGTTTTTTACATTTGACTTTCATACAGCGTATTTTTAGATTGGTTATTGATTAGAGGAATTTTGATAACCGTTTCAGAGTGCTACACAACACAGTCGGAGGCTAATTTGTTCAGTTGCTACAGAACCAATACTCCAGCAGACCAGAGAGGCCAAAATGGATGCACCGAAAGAAATCTTTCTGAAGGATTATAAGTTACCTGATTATTACTTTGAGACGGTATGCTCTAGGTTAAGTTAGAATGTGGATTGCTTAAGACTCTGAATTCTGTTACTGTTGCTATATTGAAAGTGTTTCCTTGATCTTTGATGCTTATATTTGGCGTGATCTCAGGTTGATTTGGGCTTTGCTCTTGGCGAGGAGAAAACACTTGTTAACTCAAAAATAACCGTGTCCCCAAGAGTTGAAGGTGACTATTGTAATCTTGTTATGGCTCATTGGATATGTCAAACGATTGTAGCAAATGTTTCTTCTTCCTAGTTGCAATTACTTTAGGACATGCCATTCATCTATGTTCTTGAGTAGGTTCCTCGTCCCCGCTGGTTTTGGATGGGCATGATTTGAAGCTGCTCTCTATTAAAATCAATGGGAACGGACTGAAGGTATTGATAATTTTGTCAAATTATTTGTGCTAAGTTTGTCCTCCAATGTCTTTCTGCCGTGTTTAGTGCTTGGTCTGTTTGCAACTTGCATGAAATGGTACTTATTTATGCTTTAGGCGCACTCTTTTGGTGCTTACCTGCTTTCCTCTTGTGACCATCCAAATCTTGTTGGGTTGCTGCTCGTATTGGTTACTACATTAACTGAAGTTATTCCTTTCTTTATGCTTTCCAGGATGCAGATTTTCAAGTGGATTCCCGCCACTTGACTATCCTGTCACCTCCAAGCGGGGCATTCACTTTGGAAATCATCACTGAGATATATCCTCAGAAGAACACTTCACTAGATGTAAAAACACATTGTACCAGTTTCTTCTATTTCTACCTTTTTTATGCTTCTTTCTCTCAGTCTCTTAGTTTCTTCCTGCAGGGACTTTACAAATCAACTGGGAACTTCTGCACTCAATGTGAAGCGGAGGGTTTCCGGAAAATCACATTTTTCCAGGTTAATATTCTGAAGCATCTTTTTTCTTGAAACCTGTTTACAGACTATTCTGACTTCTTTCTTCCTGATTTTGCTAACAGGATCGTCCAGATATAATGGCCAAGTACACATGCCGAATTGAAGCTGATAAGTCGCTGTACCCAGTGTTGCTGTCTAATGGAAATCTTTTAGAACAAGGAGAACTCGATGTAAGATTGATGTTTTATAATGCATCATTTCATCTACATAGCTAGTCGAGTTGTTGGTGTCAAGTTCACTTGGTTCTTTTTGCAGGGTGGTAAGCATTATGCTCTTTGGGAAGACCCCTTCAAGAAACCATGTTACTTGTTCGCTTTAGTCGCTGGACAGCTGGAGAGCAGAGATGACACTTTTGTCACCCGATCTGGTCGGAATGTGCAGCTCAGAATCTGGACCCCTGCAGAAGACTTGTCCAAGACTGCACATGCTATGTATTCACTTAAGGCTGCAATGAAATGGGATGAAGATGTCAGAATCTTCCCTCGAGTTTTTGTTTTTCCAGTAGTGAAATTCTTTTGACAATTCTTAAAATGACACTACTATGGAACTGTCTGCAGGTTTTCGGTCTTGAGTATGACCTGGACCTCTTCAATATTGTTGCTGTCCCTGACTTCAACATGTAAGAGATAATGCATGCTTTCTTTCATTCTTTGATTACTGGTTTTGATGGTGGTTTCTTATACTTTCTGCATGGTAATTGGTGATTGGAAACATTATTAGCCTGTAATTCCTGACTCCGTGATACAATCCTTTTTTTATTATGCACAGGGGGGCTATGGAGAATAAGAGTTTGAATGTACGATTTTCTCTTTTCTGTAGATGCCTTTGTATTTTTCTGTACTAATTTGAACTGACACATGGATCTTATTTACAAAAGATATTCAATTCCAAGCTTGTCCTGGCGTCTCCCGAGACTGCCACAGATGCAGATTATGCTGCTATTTTGGGTGTTATTGGTCATGAGGTTGGTTGCTCATTTTGACTGCCAAGTTTCTTGTTCTCTTGTATCAGTGGACTCAGTAATTTATTCTGGTCTTTTTGGTTTACAGTATTTCCATAACTGGACAGGCAACAGGTTGGTTTTATCTTCTGGCAGTTCTAATTTCTTAGCATTTCTTCTGTTGTGAAGTATCTGTTTATTTTGGAGCATGGTACAATACTAAACAAGAACACCTGCAGGGTGACTTGTCGAGACTGGTTCCAGCTCAGTTTAAAGGAAGGTCTTACTGTATTCAGAGACCAGGTATAGCCCTCTTCTTTCATCTTTATTTATGCCGTTTTGCTTCATGCTAAATTTGTCCTTTAATCTTCTTGGACTCTCTGTGGTCGATAGGAATTTTCATCTGACCTGGGAAGTCGTCCTGTGAAGAGGATTGCTGATGTTTCTAAACTTCGCAATTATCAGTTCCCACAGGTTTTACTTGGTCTTTTGCAGTTGTCATCAAATGCTTTGTTTTATATCATTGTTATCATTACTTTTCTTAGCATTAAAGTGCATGCCCTGTAAAAATTCAGGATGCTGGTCCCATGGCGCATCCTGTTAGGCCTCATTCTTACATAAAGGTTTGTTGTCTAACTGTTCAGATCTTTGCATTTTGCTTTCTGACACTCAGTTCAGATCTTTGTTATGTGGCATGCTTATGCTCCTCCTTTTCTTGTTTCTTCAGATGGACAATTTCTATACAGGTCAGTTCTTCTGCTTGGTAATGAGACAGTGATAATAAAGTGGGGAAAAAAATTCAGTACGTTTGTTGTTTCGTGATGGATTTCTGACTGCTGCCTTTGACTTGCTCATACTTGGTTCTGATTTTCGGATGTCCATCAACTTCTAGTGACGGTATGCTTACTTCATGGTGCTCTGTGTTTACTTCGTCTGGTTTTGATGCACGCTTATGATCTAACCATCTTTTATCTGTTTGTCTTCATTGCAGGTGTATGAAAAGGTTTGTTTTCGTCATTCTTGTTTCCCTGTATTATTTTTTTCCATCTGAACATCAGACGAAGACTAGTGCTGGGAGGAAACTGGAATAAATGTTAATGTGTAATAGCATTATTACAGGGTGCTGAAGTTGTCCGGATGTACAAAACCTTGCTGGGAACCCAGGGGTTCAGAAAGGTATGCCTTAAGTAATATGGGTACTAGCGTAATGCCTGTGTATGATTAAACTTGATACTCATCAGAGTACCATATTGCAGGGCATGGATCTTTACTTTAAGAGGCATGATGGTCAAGCTGTAACCTGCGAAGATTTCTTTGCTGCCATGAGGGATGCAAATGGTGCTGATTTTGCGAACTTCTTGTCATGGTACAGGATCTCTATGCTTGCCCATTTCTTTTTTCTCACTTTTGTTGTTCCATATGCTTAATAATGCTTATGAACTACAGGTATTCCCAAGCTGGTACGCCAACCGTGAAAGTTGCTTCAAGCTATAATGCAGAAGCCAAGACTTTCTCTTTGAAGTTCAGGTGCAAAGGCTAAGAATATAACATAGTAATCAATAATTTTCTATTTCTTTACCCCCCTCCTTTCTTCTGTCTAATGTGAAATACTATGCAGTCAGGAGGTGCCACTTACTCCTGGACAGCCAATCAAAGAACCTATGTTCATTCCTGTGGCATTAGGCTTGCTGGACTCGAGCGGGAAGGACTTGCCTCTTACTTCTTTCTTTCACGATGGAATGTTGCAGTCAATTTCAAGCAATGGCGAACCAGTCTACAGTACTGTGCTTAGGGTGACCAAGGTTAGTGGAGAATAAACTTGTGGTGAATCTAGTTTCCTTGCCTCTCAACTTTGCCTGTACTTTGCCCTTTGTTAATGTGAGCATTACTCCTTTTCAAGTCCTTGGTCAACTTTCTTTCTTTACTAAGTACCAAGTTAGAGGAATTTTCTAAGATATGTTTCGACTTTCTTACATCTCTAAAGTCATGATTTTCCCTGAACCAAAGGAGCATGGTTATTTGTACATGCGAAGAAAACTGAACCCAATCCTTTGCTGAGTGTTATTCGACTCTCAACATGTAATCACACATTAGGTAGAAATTAGAAGCCCTAATGCTTATAGCCGACCTGAAGTGGCAACTTCTGCTAAATGTGTAGTTTTTTCTTTGAATGAAGTGTTCTCTTATGCAAACGATTTTAATATTTTTTATATGTGCTCGTCTTAACAGAAAGAAGAGGAATTTATTTTCTCCGACATAACCGAAAAACCAGTTCCTTCTCTGTTTCGGGGTTATAGTGCTCCTATCCGTCTTGAAGCCGATCTTTCAGAAGCTGATTTGTTCTTCCTCCTTGCTCATGATTCAGATGAATTCAACCGGTTTGTTCTCTTTAACTGTCACATTTTAACTTTAGCAACTTTTGTGTAGGATGATATTCATTTTTCTTTGTTGTGTTATTAGGTGGGAGGCTGGGCAACTCTTGGCCAGGAACCTGATGCTGACCCTAGTGGCTGATTTCCAACAAAATAAGCCATTGGTTTTGAATCCAAAGTTTGTTCAAGGGCTGAAAAGCATTCTTACTGACTCGTCTTTGGATAAAGTACGGGACGGCATATATTTTATGTAATTCTCCCACACGGAGCAAAATAGCTAACTGTTTCCTGTTTGATTCCTTAGGAATTTATTGCTAAGGCAATTACTCTGCCTGGTGAAGGTGAAATAATGGACATGATGAAAATTGCAGACCCTGATGCTGTTCATGCAGTCCGCTCCTTCATCAGGAAGCAGCTTGCTGCTGAACTGAGAGCCGAACTTCTGAACACTGTATGATTGATAATCCTCTGTTGAGCTTGTGAAATATCCACACTTCTTGTGGTCTCTATGACGATATCTCAATTTGTTCTGTTTTCTTAAACAGGTCAAGAACAACAGCAGTTCTGAAGCATATGAGTTTAACCACCCAAACATGGCCAGGAGGGCACTGAAGAACATTGCTCTCGGTCTGTATTGTTTGCCTGGCACTTCCCACCTTGCTATTTCACTTTGTTTTAATAGTGATGTAGATAACTGATGATGTTGGTCATTTCAAAACCCTTTCTGCAGCATATCTGGCTTCACTTCAAGATGAGGAGTCAGCTGCGCTTGCACTCAATGAATACAAGTCTGCCACAAATATGACAGACCAGTTTGCAGCTTTGGCAGCCATAGCTCAGAACCCAGGTAAAACTCGGGATGAAGTGTTGGCTGACTTCTACAGCAAGTGGCAAGATAACTTCTTGGTGAGCAATTGCTGTAGTTGTTACCTATTACTTTAGTGGCTGTTTAGCTCTACGCTAACTTCTCATTTTCCAGGTTGTGAATAAATGGTTCTCCCTTCAAGCCTGGGCAGATATTCCTGGGAATGTGGAGAACGTTCGGAATCTCCTGAATCATCCAGCATTCGATTTACGTAATCCAAACAAGGTAATAGACGCAGGTTAAATGTAATATCATCATCATCATCGTCCTCGTGTTCATGTTTTCAGAAGAGGGGATTAAACTGAGATTGGTGTTCTTCATTAAACAGGTATATGCTTTGATTGGAGGATTTGCTGGGTCCCCAGTCAACTTCCATGCTAAGGATGGTTCAGGCTACAAGTTCTTGGGTGAGATGGTGGTCCAACTCGACAAAATCAACCCTCAGGTTTGTAATTTGTCGTCTTAATGATATGATTCCTCAGGATCCCCACCTTCATGGTTCCTTGCCTAACAAGTTAACATCCCCTCCTTGGGATGGTCCGTTTTACAGGTGGCTTCCCGCATGGTTTCGGCCTTCTCGAGATGGAGGCGATACGATGAGACCAGGCAGAACCTTGCCAAGGTAAAACACTGAACCAAACGAACAGTTAATTGGTGTTGGTTTTCTTGGACTGAACATGGTCTTTTGTTGTTGTTGGTCTCGTTGCAGGCGCAGTTGGAGATGATAGTGTCTGCCAATGGACTGTCGGAGAATGTCTTCGAGATTGCTTCTAAAAGTTTGGCTGTCTGAACTTTTTGACGACGCAGACCAAATTCCACGGAGATGTTAAGAGTTTAAAAACAATTAGTTTCGTTTGGGAGATGGTGATTCTACTTTGAATTTTATGCAAGACAAAAGTTTGGTCATGAATTTGGTTTCTGAAGTAATAATGATGAAGTAATAATTAGTAGTTAAGCTTTCTTTGGGTTTTCATTGGACCGTCGAGGTTGTTGGCCCGTTTCTGTTGATGGGCCTTGGGCTTTTTAACTATCTGTGGCCCACCTTAGCTCCTTTTCCAGTGGGTTCGGTGGGCCCACCTTGACCCACAGTTCTCATCTTGTCAAAAGTTAAAAACTATCAAATTCGAGCTAAATGTCGATGGATAGCACTCTATTGTAGGGATGCTCTATGAAATGGTTTATCGAATTGGAGATAGCATTGACGGCATCATGGGCAATAATCAATAAAATAATGATTTCACTGTATAACTTTCTTTTCATGCATGTAATTTGGTTAAAATCGTCGTAATGAGTATTGTATCATCTATACTATTCAATATAACACGATCCAAATGTTGAGTTGGCTGAACACCATCCGCGATCTTGGAGATAATACCGATGGATGATATCACCTTCAATAATCAACGAAACAAACCCCAAATGAAACAAGTTTTGGGTGGGCATGCATAACGTGGACGAATAGAACTTAGTTTGAAATGGGTAATAACAACAACATAAAATGGAAAGAGTAACAAGAACATCAACCAAAATAATGATGTTTACCGAAATTTTATGGCTTTCTCGCACCATTTGAGGCAGAAAAGGGAAGAAGAGTATGGGACACTGCAAAAGTGACTTGCCTATAATATAAACCTAGCTTTATGTTAAAACACTTTGAACCACAACATAATGGAAGTTGACTAGAAAGGTTTGACGTGACATAAGAAGATTTTCCTCTCCTAGCAATAATTGGAGGACAACAATACGAGAAAACGAGTATGCATTATCTCTTGCCAAATCGAGGATTGTTACAACTTACAAAAAGATAAAAAAAAAAACCCTAAAGAACTACATGCTATACTATGATTACGATGGGGATTTTGGTGCATATATCCGACTTTATCCTAGTATGTAAGTTATGTATTGTGGGTTTATCAATTTGAGCGTATAGCATTGTTCATCATCAAGAATTTTCTTCTTCTCAAAGTAGTTGTAAAAGTTGAAACTAAAAAAATACTGCATCTGTTCAGTTTTATCATCACTTCTTACCATTTGCATTTTGAACCAAGCTTAAAGTGATGTAATATTATGATTGTAACTATCATTATTAGTATATGGGAATGCGAGTTTGGGAGATATGGTGCTATGTTTTAGGTCAAAAAGTAAATAGCCCACCGGTTTCTATTATCATGGTCATTATGATAATATATGCAATCTTATAATGACACTTGTTCAGTCATCTTTCTAATCCTCTTTTTTGACTCGACTCCATCTTTCTTATTCATTTGCTCACCAAAGTAGCTTGTTCATGCTATTGTTTATTAGAGTGAAGGAACAGCGGCAGAATGCGTACTATATCGACAGAGCACTTAGGAGGTTGATAATGAAGTCATAATTACCTCACTTTTTTTTTCATTCATTAACAAGTAGTTTTATTATATGGTTTCCTTGACAAGTAAGATGTCATACATCAAATACAGATTTGGTCGCGAGTGATCATGCAAACTTCTTTAGAGTTTAGACACGTCTATATATCTCGTACAATGTACTTCTTTAATCGTAAATATATTTTACTTCTTCGTTATACTCCTTAAGATGCAAATGTACTCTTGTAACTTAACAGTCTCATAACTTAGACATAATCATGTTTCAAACATAAAGTGGAATCGAAGAGCTCAATCAATTAATGCTGCTGGGCTAGTATAGGGCTAAAGAATTTGAAACTAATGTATTTCTATTAAGCGTCTTCCTCGCGCACCCTATGATAAGAAACTTCTTATATATACGACAGTTCGATACATACATAACAGAAAATAGACTACACAATGAAATGATTGGTGGGACATCGGCGCCGGACACAATTTACTCATCATGCTATATTTGGAAAGCATCGGAGACCAAAATTGATGGTTTGCATATGATAAAATCATGTCCATGTCTTTGATGCATTTTGAATGAATCTAGAAAAGCTAGGGAAGAAATAAGTGAAATTGGAACACAAATGTGTCGACGTTGATAGCTTAGCCTTAGCTAGTCAATGGCAAATCTAGCATTTCATTAACTTAATGATCATCTCAAGGCCGGTTCAAAGGTTGGTTAGAGGGAAACAGAAAACAAAGATGAATTATGAGAGAACCTAAAAGACCCTTTATGGCATGTGATGGTGGGCTAGGCTGAGGGACGAGAAAAGAAAGGAGAAAGGATCGAAGACGAAGACGAAGAGACCATTCTTCTAGGGTTTCTAGCTAGAGGAAAGGTGGGTTTGACCAAATTTCACCCAAGATCAAAGTAACACCCAGATGTGCTCTTAATTTTCCAGTCCATTCAAAACAAAACAAACAAAAAAAAAAAAAAAATCCAGTCCATTCACAAGATATCAAATGGCTAATGAACAAAATATATGTGATAGTTTCAACTTTGAACTATAATTTTCAGTTTTTTTTTACAGGGGTCTGCTGGGGAGGGGAAATTTCTAGGTTGAAAATTGGTAAAGAGATCGATTGCTAGATAAAACACTTGTTCGTAATAATTTGTGTTTTGAGTGGGTGGATATTGTTAGATCGATAGCAAATGCTCACATTTCCTATAATAAGATCATTATTCCAAATTATTTAACAAAAAGTTTGTTGTTTAAAGGTTTGTGTACCATTGTACAACTTAAGAAATATTTGAATTTGAACCAAATGTTGACATGATTGAGGAAAGGTTGGTGATAATCGGAGTTATCTTTGAGATAATTTAGGTTCTTTGATTGTTGAATTGATTGTTAGGCATGTATTGATGGATATGGTGTACTGTAAATTACATCATTTGGTATTTGTCATTGTATTTTCAATAATTGAAAATGAAAGTCACTTTTCAACGAAAATGTTACTTTTATGGTTGTACCCCTTCTTTTCAATGCATAAGGTACTTTTTAAATGATAAAAATGAAACAAAATTGGACAACTCAACCGAACAAGTCCGACAATCTAATGTAAAAGTTGAGTTGTACAATGATTATTGATGACAAATCAAACAAACAATATGTGCCCTCTAAGTGGATAAAAATACAAACGAAAGAAAATAACTCTTAAAAAGACGCCATAACAATTTCAAAAAACAATCCTAGAAACCAAACCACTTCAGCATCTTGGATTACAGATTTACAGTATTGTCGTAAAAGACAAAACCATATTTAGAGTTGAATAATTAGGGGATTTGCGGCCGTAATTTACATCACAATCACAAGTCAAATCTAGAAACACAAGGTAGATGGATATATGATGGATGGTGGCGGGAAGGTAGGTGGTATCGTGCAAGTTAGTTTACAAAAAGTTTGGCGGGGAAACCGTGGTAGGCCCACTCTTAGAGATGAATAATGATGGGATTAATGAAAGTGCTCTAGCTAAAGGTCGAACCCTTTTCTCTTTAATCAATAAGCAAATTAAAAATTTCTATTAGGTACAGATATTTTTTTTGTTTGGATTTTCTTTTGTTTTGATCCAAATGGCTAAAATTTCGTTTTCACTTTTCAACAATACTTAAAATTTCATGTTAATTTTTTTAAATATAGTTGAAGTACTTCAATTTAAGCGACGGCTCTCAACGTATATGGAGAATTCTACTACGTCTATTCCACATGTAACTAGTGCGTTTAGTAAGTTGGGCGAACTAGAATCTTTTACCAATGATTTTTTAATGAATTTGTTCGAGTCTAGACTATCACGAGTTATCGTGGTAAAAAATACATTGGTTAACATTTTATTTCGATTTCAAAATACATCAAAGTAAATGTCATTTTAAAATTGGAGTAAAATGAATAGGTACCCCATTACATATTAATAGTGCAAATGCAAGAGTCTGCTTCCCTTAATTTATTAGGTGTTGCATACAGTTTTCTTGGTGTGTTCAGCAGTTTATATGACTTTATTGTTTTGATGTGTATTGATTTGGCATCTTTTGGCCGTTTCAATTGAACTCCATCCGCATGCCCTCTCATGGAGACACCGTAAGAGTTTTTATTCACAAAGATTTCGACACAATACTTTTTTAAAAACGGAGTGTTTAAAGTGCGTTCTAATTTTTATTTATCAAATTAAGCGAGAAGTTTCTATCTCGAGAGGGTCATGGACTCATGGTACAACCAATAGGGGATTGCACTATTAAGTGCATCGAAAATGTGGGTTCCCATAGCTAGAGAGTGGCCCAAAGAGACACTATCCATTTCATAAGCGATGGACGTACTCCAGTTTCGAAGCCTTCTTTCACAGGAGTGGGAAGTTAGACTCTCTCGTGTTTTCAGAGAGGGGAATTTATGAGTCGATTGTTTTGGCTCATATGTGTTTTTATTTTATCCTTTTGGCGCTCATTTTATTTGTGAGCATGAACCTGAGATCCGTAAATGAATTATATATGACATTATGATATCTATATACCCTCGACGTATTATTAATGATATGAGGTAGTGATACTCATAGGCGGAGGCAGGGGCATTAGCCCTTGTCACGGGAAGGGGCAATTTTCGGAGTAGAAAAAAATACCCATATATATTTATATTGATGATGGAACAAACAATTAAAGATGGTATTAGCGTATTTTATCAATACAATACAACTCATTAGTTGTTCATAAATTGACATAAAATTAATTTATTATACTATAAACGAACTTTTAATTGCAATAAATACCTAATCAAATCTTTTTTCTCCTTATGTCTATTCGTTTTTTCCCAACAATCCTGAAATTTTTCAGCGACAGCAGCAATTCCATTAGTTTTGATTCTACCAACTTGCAACTGCAAGTGCAGAAAGAACATTTTTCAGCTTTGAGTTAAATTTAGAACAAGTTTCGAAGTCGAATTGGCGACCAGTTTGCTAATGATTGTTTAGTGTGATACATTAAAAGAAACTTACTTAACAGTGTAGACAACAAATGTTTGTGTTTCTTTTGTAATATGAAATTCCGTCGTGGTTGCTTATGAAAACAATGATTTTATTAGTCGATTATTTTTTATATGTGAATGAATTATTTGGATATAATTAGTTTTAATTTAATTAATTCATTAATTATATATTTATATTATAAAAAGAGAAC